TGGCGCGCACCTTTGAGAAGCCTGAACCAAAGATATGGAGGATGGCGTGCACCTTTGAGAAGCATGAGGACTAAAACCCACTGTTTTCTGAGTGCTGTCATCACTTCTACTTGTAAAAATATTACCTGAGAATAAGAAAATTCAAGTCCTGTGATGGAGAACATGACCTCTGCTGCTGTAACCAGGATATATTGTGGTAGCTGCCATGCAATGGATAGTTTATTGGCTGGAATTTCTTCTGTCTTCCAAATCTCAAGACCCTGATTGGTGATCTTAGTGAGAGAAACAGGAATTGAACTTCTCAGTAATCTTAAACAAACATGCCTAACTGTAACATCCTATGATCTATAGCCAGTCCTTCCTTTTATTTTCACTTTCTGTTACCTTCAAGATACTAGACATTTCTATACAATTCCATTCATTTCCCTGACTTCAGCCAGTTACAGTAGAAATCTCTGAGATTAAAAGTCTTTGATGTCCAAATGCTGTAGGCTCTAAGTCAAAGGGAATTAGGTCCAAAATAGTGAAGTAAAGGAATCCTGTTTTATTCCTTAGTTAAGAATGTACATAATATCTAGGAATCTGTGCATATGGGGGAGTATGTGTGTGTTTGGTGCGTGTGTAATTTGTATATGTGTGGTATGCTTTTGTGTGTGTTATGTGTGTTGTGTATGTGTGTGGTGTGTGTGTATGTGGTTTGTGCATACATGTGTATGTACGGTGATATGTGGTGTGTGTGTGTGGTGTTTGTGTTTGTATATGTGGTATGTGTGGTGGTATGTGTTTATGTGGTGTGTGTGGTGTGTTTATGTGGCATGTGTGTGTGTTTGTGTGGTGTGATATGGTGTGTGTATTCAGCATCAGAGCAGACTAAAAGAGCCTCTAAAAGACAGATAATCAAGAGTTCTAAGGCTACATCCCCAGCCTCCAAATTAAGCTTGAGAAAGAGAAAAAGGAGAATATGTGGAAACTGACATTCACTTGATTCAAAATAGATTACAAATTGACATGAAATGAAAATCATGTTAAATTAACACAGGAGGAACACATGGATCAATCGGACAGAGCTGAGAAGCTACAAGTAAGACTTCATTTTATGATCATTTGATTTTTAACAACAGTATCAGGACAATTTAGTGTGCAGTCTTTTTAATAAATGGCACCGAGACGACTGGAGATCATATACATATATATATGAATTATTATATGAACTATATGTTTCTGTGTGTGAAAGAGTAGAATATGAACCTTTAACAAAATATCCTTATGTACAAAAATTAATTGAAATCTTATGCCCTCTTCTGGCCTCCAGACACCAGGCATGCATATGGTGCACATACATAAATGCAAGCAAAATATCTATACATATACACGAAAGAAAAAATTTGAATCAAGATTCAGAAGTTCTCTGTTCTAGTTACTGAGAAAAATTACTATTTGTTTGTTTGAGGTAGCATCTCACTATATAGCCCTGGCTAATCTTGAGCTCCCTACCTAGACCAGCCTGGCTTCAAACTCACTGAGATTTGCCTGCCTCTGCCTTTTGAGTGCTGGGATTAAAGATGTGTATGTGCCACTGTACCCAGTGGCAATTACTTTTGATAGAGCAAAGTTAATTATTCCCCAAACTTTGTGTGGATATTGATATTTCAGACTGTTGTATGGTAGCAGATCAAGATTCTAGGGATCCAACAGACCTGTATATCAAGTCAGGGAAAAAAATAAGCAAGCAAACATAAAACAAGTAATTTTTCATGAATAATATTTAGTTTCTTAAGGTCATAATGATACTGACCAGAGCATGAGATTTCATAGTGATAGCTCAGAACATGTCATGTCTCCATTCTCAACACTCTTGGCCTGCTAATGTTCTCTCCTTTGCTATCCCCTGTGGAGATGGTGAGTTTTCTAAAGCCACAGCAGAATCATTGCTATTTCAGTATGAAACGCTCTCCCAATGTTTTAAAGGCTTGACCTCCAGTGTAACTTTCAGAGGTGGTGCTTCAAGGGTACAGTTAGATCATGGGGACACTGACCTAACTAATGAATTAACTGACTGATGGATTAAATCCTGAGTGGACTCTTGGGAGGTCATGGAAACTGTGAGGTGAGGCCCTTCATGGGTGTTGAGGAAGTGAGTCAATGAGGGCATGCCTTGTCCCTGATCCCTTTCCCTACTGTTCTCTCTGCTTCCTGGTCACCATGTCATTTCTGGCACCTTTTCTCCACAATGTCCTTCTACCATGATGTTTTTCTTAGACTTAAAACCAGTTGAGTCATCCAACTCTAGACCAAAATATCTTAAGCCATGAGCCAAGATAAGTGTTTCTGCCTTTTTACCTACTCCTATCGAACATTTGTCACAGTGATGGAAAGTCTGACACTGGACCAGAAAGAAGTATGTGATCCTGTCTTGCTACAAAATCTTCTCATTTGCACTTTGTCCTCACCAAGAAGATCCTAAGATGTGTGTGTGTGTGTGTGTGTGTGTGTGTGTGTGTGTGTATGCACGTGCACACATGCATATGTAAAAAGAAAGGAAACCTAGACAGTTAGGTAAACAAGCAGACAGAGGGAAGATTTGGTGACTGTAAGCTGCTTACATTGGTGATAACAAACAGATACGTTGTACCAAAGTCTAGTAGACCTAAATCAAGAAAAAAGTTTGTGTCTTCTGTCTCACAGTGCACTGCAGGGTACCTGAAACAAGATAAGATTTTGTCAGAATAAACAGCATGGCTTAGGGAAACACTCCCATCTCCAGGGCAAAGAGATCTCAACTCCAATGAGGATAATAGTTAAGCCATGCGTCTTTGACGATAGACACTTCTAGGATACTTTGTGTCCATGCCTTGGATCTGCAATCTGTCTTACCTGCCAAGTACGTTTTTAAAATCCTAACCCCGAGGAAAGACTGTACAGATTAAGTTTTATATATTTCAGGCCCATGAAGTTTTTCATATAAATTTTATGACTTAGCAGAATAGTATAAAACAGGGAACATGTGAGGGAACATGTATTTCATAAGTCCTTGGGAGGTTGCATACCAGATATCCTGCATAACAGAGACTTTCATTACGATTTCATAAGAGTAGCAAAATTCAGTTAGTAAGTAGCAACAAAAAGAATTTTATGTTGGGGGGGGGACCATAACGTGAGGAACTGTATTGAAGGGTCACAGAAGGGTTAGCAACCAGTTGAGAAACAGTGCTGTAAAGGATGAGGTACCGACAACAAGTACTAAGGAGTAGGAGCCAAGATCCACAACAAACTTTGTGGGCTTCACAGAGAAGGGCTGTATTAACTACACAGTATGCTCAGCCCAACTATCACAATCTCAGCAGAGCAATGTAAAAAGAAGGTGAGCCTGGGAGAAGAGGGAGAGGATTAAAAAGAAGCAGAAATCTTCTTTTACTCCAAATTAGCACAGATATGCCTATGTCTATTACCTAAATACAAAAATAGAATTTGAAAAAGATTGTTTCGATTAAAGCAAAATGTCCACAAGGGCAAGGCTCTTACTCTCCTCTCATCATGGTTCTGTATGCGGACACTCCGTAGTCTTTGCCCACACTGAGAGGAACATCTTCATCCAAGGAGATATTGATGTCTTTGTGCAGGGTGTTAATAAACCTGAGGGTAGACAAATTATTTGTACATCAGACAGAAAGATCCAATCAAGGACACCTGGTACTCATAACTGTATTCCAAGTGCATGAAATAGTGGCTGGACCAGGAACAAACAAGCATAGAATTTAAATGTCAGAAGTAATCGCTACCCTTTACTTACTCTAGGAAAACTGATTTTTCTGACTTATGACTAACACTCACCAGACAGCCAGCTAGATGGATGCTCCCACAGTCAGACATGGCCATTTGACTTTCCTTTCTAATCTAGTTTAGAATTACCTAATTTCTTTTTTTATTTTTTTACTGTATGTATGTCTACGTGTGTGTTTGTGTACACGCGCGCAGATACACATGTATGTGCACATGATGAGTAGAGACCTGTTGTTTCTCAGGATGCCATCCTCTTATTGTCTGAGACTGTATCTCTCACCGAGAGCTGGAGCCCACTCATTAGATGAGGCTGCTGGCTAGTCTAGCCTCTCCAGTGCTGGGATTCCAAGTTCACCCCACCACACTCAGTGTTTTACATGGGTTCTGACGCCTGAACTTGGATCATCACGCTAACACAGCAAACACCTTACCAGCCTAGCTACCTCCCAGCCGTTTTTCCTTCCTAATGGTGGGATTTCTCAACTGAGATGTAAGAAAAACAGTAGAAATATATGTATATGTAAAGATATGACATTTTATAGAAATCTTCTTATAAGAGTTCAGTTTGACTCATGCAAAATTTAGGGACCCAGCCCACAGAAGGTATTGTCATTATATGCCAGTCTTCAGGAATCTTGAGCTCTTCCAGAATCTTCTTTCTAGTATTCTGAATGTACGTTCTCCTCAGAATGGGATTTTGGTATATTTTTGTTTTAATAATTTCAATCTTGTTCTTGCTCTAGAGATAAGAAGGGCAGTTCCTTCTAGTATTTTAAGGTCTTCCTTCATGTATGCAAAAAAATCAATCCTTGCTGCCCCTTCTTGTCTAATTTAGTTTACATGGTATGTTTTTTCTGGAGCATTTCAAGAGCAAGTTCTTTGTGTATTTTACTTTTCAGTGAATTTGGATTTTTCTTTAAAGGTTCTTCTCTATTTTTTAACAATAACTACCTAATCTTGGTGCCATAATCTCTCTGTTTCACATCCAGTTCCAGTCACAGATAGCAGGTGAACACTCCCCTATCTGTCCCATGCCATCTGGCAAGACCTTCAGCCTTATCTGGATTAAAAACCAATTTTTTTGATTTCTCTGTCAGTTTATAATAGAAACTGATACTTTACGGGCTAGATACCCAACTACCAAAAATGATGGTAGGAATATTCACTCACTTCTAAATGTTAATCTCTTGAACATATAAATTTACAGAGTTATTTTCCTGAGAGCAAAATAGATGGCTAATAATAGGTAGAAAAACTTTTTATGGTAGAGAACAAAATATATCCACTGATTCAGGGTGATTGGCCAGTCCTATGAGAAGAAGCATGCCCATTGGTCTTTCACTGCCATAGGAAATGCTACAGACACCAGTGCCCCTGAACAAGTAAAATATGAGGCCTTTCATCTTAAGCCCCCAACTCCCAACCTGATGGCTGTCATTCCATTGGCTGGTTTGATTTCCATATCCTTTACCTGAAACAGAGAAAAGAAAAGCTCAGGAGGATCAGACAAAGGGAAACATATAAACAGAACATTCCATTTCCAGGCTGCTCCTTGGTAAGCTTCTGATGAGTCAGCCGTCTTACTTCAAAACAGAACTTGTGCAATTCCCTGACTTACCAGCACACTGGAGACACTTTCCCCATGATCATGAATAACCAAATGGTAGCAGGTCTTCTCTTCTACAGAATGCTTGTTGTAGACAGACAAGTTGTTATACTTCAGATGAAAATGTAAATCTTGGATTTTTGTGTCCAGGTGTAGTTTGGAATAGTGTGTTGTGTTCTGCAGAACGAAGAGCCTATTACAATCACTATCTACCCCAGTGTGGACATCAAATTCCATAGCCTCAGGATGTGTGACCTAGTTACTTCTTTCTCTAAAATCGTTATTTCATTTCTAGGACACTGGCCTGGGACACAGAAACATACACAAGGAAGAGTAGAGTAGTTCATTATAACATTATGCATAAAAACAAAAGCAGGAGTGGGCTCAGTTGTTAAGAGCATTGGCTGCTTTTTCAGAGGACCTGAGTTTGGTTTTTAGTATCCACACTCGCTGCAGTTCCAGTAGAATTGATGTCCTCTTCTGGCCTCTGCAGACACCAGGCACATACACGATACACAAACATATATGCGGGCAAAGTATCCACACATATAAAAATCAATAAATAAATAAATAAATCCTTGTAGGACTGTAACTGTAGCTAAATGGTAGGGTGCAAGCCTGATGCTCTAGGTTCAATTTCCAGTATCATCACAAAAATAAGATCAGCAAAACCCAACTTGAATATATAGAAGAGAAAGCTTAGATGAACTATATGTAATGGATAAAATATTATGCAACCAATAGAATAATGCTACCAGAGATTATTTAAGGACATAAGAAAACAATTATGAGATTATATGATTAATGTCATTACACAACCAAGGCTACTATAGCATATACAGTTTCTAAGTCACTGGGGCCCATGCCTCACCTGAAAAGAGCTGACGGACTCCACCAAGAGGGAATTATTTCTACTTCCTAGAACTGTCACCTTTATTTTACCATTTGCCAGGTTCAAGACTTGTAAGAAAATCTCTTGGGAAGCTGGCTGGGCATGGGTCATTCCCTGAAAGACAGACAATACTTATTTATCACCAATAATTAACCCTTCAGATACAAGTGAACAAATCTTAGTCCTCTCTTTGACAGCTTAGCCCTTCTAGCCAAGATTTACAAATTTATCCCTCTGAAGAACAGTTGGCTTAGAAGTCTGAAACGGCAACTTTTTTTTCTTTAATCAGGGAAGACCCCAGTTCCATGAAGCAGTCACCAATAGAAGGTAACAAACACATTCCTTCAGTTGTGGTTAACTAATGGCGGCTATTTGATGGTCAGAAAGACGATTTGTATAGCTTCGAAGGCATCAGATAAACCTTTGTTCCCTGGGTATTTTGGGTAGTTGTGTTGTGGAATTTCCTGAAAATAAGCCCTGAATTGCTCAGGTGAGAACTGGGTCTCCTTTTGCGTTGTTTCTCTGGTCACTTAAATACTCACCATGGCCGTCCTATGAAATGGATACTGTGCTAAGTCCCAAGGGATCAAGACTGAACATGTAAGAGAAGTGAATGGAGCAGATTGGGAACTTAACATTTACTGGACTCACATTTACTTTTATCTCCACAAGTGCTGCAACTGCAAATGCCAGACTTGCTAGGATCATACCGACAGTCATTTTCCTGAGTGAGCTGTGGGGGAAAGGAGACATCATTATATTGACCCCTTACTCTAAGGTACAAGGCCCAGACTCCTTAGCCTTTCTATAAAGACTTTAATTAATTCAAATCATTTTTAAAGTATTTTCTAGAATTTTTCTTCAAACACTCTTTTTACTCAATAACTAACACCTCTTCTCTATAATATACCACTTTCTCACCATTACTTATGATTATGATGATGTTTAGCCATTATGTCATAATATTAAAGATAACAGCAATATAATCAGATTCTATTATTTAATGCACAGAAACTGCTATAATTCTTCAACTCATCTTCTTCAAAAGTCTTTGTTGACCTCTATGGCATTCCCAATTTCTCTTCCTAGGGTGTTTACCACATTACATATATAACGATCATCTTTGTCTATATTCTAGTTCCCTTACTAGCCAGTGAACACCTTGAAAAAAATGTGTACTTGATTTGTATGGAACTTGGTCCTAGACTCCCTATTAGCTTCTCAATAAGTAATTGACAAGGGCATTTGTATGTGGTACAATGGTCATCACTTTCCTGTCACAGCTAGATTGCTGTCAAATCAGAGCTGAAAGAGGACTTGAACTGTTCCTTGCCAAGCTTTACAAATGATACTTTCTACTTAGCATGGGGCAGGGTGCAGTGCATACTAACTCAAAGTGATGCTGTACCCACTCATACAATGCCCTATCTTAGTTTCATAGGAACAGCAGGACATTTAAAAGAATTTGTTGTCATCAAAACCTCAGGACTTGGTCTAGAAAGATGGCTCAGAGCACAATTCTATGAAGGCTGATGGCTTGAGTTCAATCCCTAGAACTCAAACGCTAGAGGAAAGAACCAATTCCCACAGGATTTCCTCTGATGTCTACACACTTGCTGTGGCACACACATTAATCTTTCCCCACACCACACATGAAATAAGTTAATAAGTGTACTTCTTTGGAGAGGCAACATTCAAGGGCAAAGCAGCATGGTGTTTCAGAAACCTGAAATCACATACATGCCTAGACCGACCCCTTCAACACCATACACTCAAGTCTGTAGCATTGGCATTGACAATCAACAGTTAGGTCCAATTTCCACTTTTCCACATTAATACAATTTTGCCAACATGGAAAAATAGAAACAGATAAATGATAAATCAAAGTAAGTAATCATTAAACATAAACATTCATGCTTTGAATCATCACCAAATTATCAGCCATTGAGTCAATATGCAATAACACTTGGCATGGTGAGCACTTACGAGAAATTAATTCTGCACTTGGAGATCAGCCGATAAATGACAAGGTCAAACAATGGGATGAAGACAAGAACCAGAAAGGGATTTAGTACCTGAAACACCATGGTAACAAGGATTAATATGAGCATCCCTCGGTCGTGAGTGTGAGCTCTTGCTCTCATGCTCTCCTCTGCTTGTGTGCACCCTCTCACGTCTGCTCACTTTCACCTTAGTAGGTAAAAGGGTCCACATTTCTTCACTTCTTTACTCTGCTTCCACCAGAAAGTATCTTAACCTCCCTAGATATCAAGGGACTAGTTTTACTGAGCTTGTTTCTCTGTCAGTCAAATTAGAAACCATCCTCTGCCATTGTCCCTTGTCTTTAGTTTCACAGCCTAAAGGGAAAAATAGGGGGCTAAAAAGTGTCCTGGAAGTCGCTATTGGTAAGCAGAGATTCTGACTTTGTTTCTCACACAGGGGAAATTTGTACTTCCTTTTTGTTTGTTTTGATAGTGCTGGGCATTGAACCTAGGACACCCTGCATGTCAGGCAAGTGCTACACCACTGAGCTACAGCCCTAGCCTCAGGTTTACACTTTCTTTGACAGTATTTTCAGTTATACTGTCTTGGCATAGAAAGAAAATGCAAGGCTCACACTTTACATGGGGCTCATACTTAGTCTCTTTGGAGTTGGGCAGAACTACATTCTTAAAAAAGTTGTGAAAGAGAAGAGTAAGATTCAAAGAAACTTTTCATCTCTAGGTTTGGGCTTTCTCAGCACACAATGAGGAATGTATCAGATGATGGCTATTAACCTGAATAATAGGTAGGTACAAGTAAGAAAAACAATCACATGCCCATGCACAGAAGTCCATGCATACCTGCATCTGGTCCGGCTGAAGCACAAAAAATCCCTGAAATATCATAACAAATTATAGTTAGATGGTAACAGAAGACAACAAAAGCTTAGGTCACCCATCTTGACAGTAGATGAGACTCATATAAAAGGAAATTCATCAGATCTTTGGTTTAAGATATCTGGTTTACTGGCAGAGTATGTGGGGGTAGGGAGAGACTTGAGATGGTTTTTGACTATTTGTTAAGGACAGATGGACCCTAGGAGAACACTTCTTTCTGTGTCTGGGTTAAGTATTCATTCTCCAAAAATGCTTGAGATTTACAATCATTGTGTATGTGCATACAGGAGACTGGGGAAGAGGCAATGAGGCTGAAGTTTAAACATGAAATTAATTTATGTTTCATATATGACTCATACACTAGCCTGAAGATAATTTTCTTAATAATTGCCAACCATTTTGTCCATGAAAATTTTATGGTGTGGGAATTTTCACTTGTGACGTCATGTTAATGCTCGAGAATGGTTTTGTCATTTAGAGCAATTAGGATTCCTGAGTTTTGGATCAAGGACGTTCAACCTCAACCATATTTTGACAGACAGTGACAGTGTTGGTGTGTTAGAGGTAGTAATAACAGGAGGACCGGTGTTCTGGTCAGGGTGAAGTTGTTCCTGATATGCTATGTTCAATTTCCAAAGTTGTTCTCCAGAGAATCAATAAGAGACCTGTCATGTTAACTCCTGAACAACTTGAGGTAAGATTATATTTTGGAGGCTCCTGGTGTCACTCTACCCTGTCTTCTTCAAAACTATCAATATAATAATATAGAGATGAAACAATTAAGAATGGAGAGTGGACCAAAGAATGAACACTGAAGAAAGAGAAAATAATATTTACAACATTTTCACTCTTCCCATGGCCACAAATCAGACATTTTATTAGTTCTCCCTCAGGTCCTATGGGTCCCTTGCTTGATCTTGCCTGACAAATGGGGCAAGCTGTGAAGGAGCACCTCTCAAGCTTTCACTTGGTAAGTCTAAGACAGTCTCAGTGTAAGAAAATCATCAACCAGGCTTGCCTGACGTCATCTGTCATCCTTTCAGCACATCATGGTGGGGGTATCCGGGCATGCCCCACCCTTTCCCTCCTGATTTCCAAAGATAAGACTATAATTTTTATTTCTAGCCTGACTTTGGTTATCTTTACCTACTCAGGGTTTTTTGGGCTTAATATATATCTCTGATGGCCTTGTCAGTTTTTAAGAAAAATCACAAATAAGTTAATTAAATATGTGAAATAAATATATCTTTGTATAAATTAATTACAAATTATGTATGATGATGAACTTAACTGACTTCTTTGTAAGTTCTGTCAACTCACCAAATCACCATCCATTTTGTTAGCTTGCAGTGTCCATCGTGAGCCCTAGAACAGACAGATTTTGTTGTGAGACATCCTTTTCCTGTGATAAAAAAGAGGATGAAAAAAACATATCTTTCAAAAAAAGCACTGTTTATTACCTGTTGGTCCAAAAGAGCCCAGAACATGGGCAGTGGGATATAAAGGAACAGTACCCTGGTGAGTGCCTTCACATCCACAATGAGATGCTTCTACAGGGAGGAAGAAAGAGCAAGCAGAATTGCCAGAGGTTCCAAATGTGCTTTTCTTGCTTAGAGTAGAAATCGTCCAAAACAGTAAAAGAAGAGGTCAAAGGTGCCAGAAGAAAAGAATTTGAAAGATCTCATAGAGTTATGAGGTACGTCTGCAGCTGCCACTTACTGGATATTTTTCTGATGCCCAGTCTAGCCAGTGCTGCCGTTTTGGAATGTCCCCAGAACGGTTCCTGAAGCGATTGCTGATAGCAAACTAGGGTGGAGACCACAATCAGAGACAGACCAAAAAAAAAAAAAAAAAGAATCCCTTTATTTCCCCAATTCATTATCCCTTCCCTCCAATAAGTACTTTGAATTTCATCAAACATTGAATCCCAATATCTGAGTTGTAACTTCTATCTTTCCTTATTTCCTAATGGCATCAAATATAACTGTACTCATAAGGTTTTTGGCCTATTAAAAAAGTGACTGCTGCTAAAACCTAGTGATCAAGCAGAGACAAGGAGCATAAATTAAACTCCATTTTTCAAAAAATAGGCACATAGAAGGAAGATGTTTAAGAAAAACATATGCCCATGCGTGGAGAGCCACACGTTCAACATGGCATATTTCCTTTTTATTGAGAAAGGCAGGCAGGCAATTCATGAACTCACCCATATGCATTTGATCACTTGAGCCACTATGTTTCCTTCAGGGGGTGGTTTTCTGTACATCTTGCTTCCCATTGCAAACACAACTACAAGGGATACACAGACAATATTCTTGGTCACTCATTTAGAATACTCAGTCTGTCAGCATCAAATCCCACAGAGACCTGATGTTCACTCCCTAACTTCAAAGTAGGTAAGAGAAGGTAGTGGTCAATTGTTAAGATATTCATTAAGAGACCTTCAAGGAATAGCAGAGACAGAAATCATCTTTGGTTTTCTCTTTTGTCTTTTGTCCATCTCCCCATGTGATTAATATGATATGAATATATGATCCCAATTTTGATTAATTTTTTTCTCGAGTGCATAGCTCAGCTGTGCCCTCTGTTAAGTTACCACTGATTCCTTTATTCTGCCTAGAACCATTTCTACCCATTCTACTCATTCTCCATTCTTTGTCTCCTTCCTTCCATCTTTGAGACAGGGTATTTCTTTATAGCCCACTGTGGCCTGGAACTCACTATGCAGTCCAGGCTGGACTCTAACTCATGATGCTCCTGCCTCTTCCTCCAGAGTGCTAGCGTTACAACTGTGCAACTTTTCCTTGTTGCTTATCCTTTAAATGCTGGTGTGCCTTTAGAATTTGAGCCTAGGTCTTCTTTTTTCCTTACTCTATCTCAGAGTTTTCTATTTTCAAGGCTTAATTGCTGGCTGCACCTGATGAATCCATATCTACATCTAAAACACAACTGCTTTTCTCTGGGCCCTAAGACAGTATTTCCGAATAACCATTTGGTGACGCGTTTAGAAGCTTCAAGAGCACCTCTAATGCAACTTGTCCCTCCCCCCAATCCAGCATCATTGCCCTAACCTGTTCACCCTCCCTCAGTTAATGATCCTATTAGCTAGCCTGTGGTTCAAATCAGAAGCCTTTATTCAATAGTGTCCCAACTTCTCCCTCACTTCACATATCCAATCATACCACGGCTTGATAATTCACCAGGGACCAAGCCTGGGTGAGCTGAGTAAGGTAATCACCTCAAGTACAAAATTTAAAGGAATATAGTAGATGGACCAAACAAGATCAATATTATCTTTACCTCACCCTCAACCCAATTTCTTTTCTGTAATGCAGACTTTTGAAAAATAAGACACTATGAAAAATAAAAAAAATCTAACAATCATTTCTCTGTTCAAACCCCTTTGGATGATTTTCCATTATCTTTACAATGAAGTTGTAATTCTTTCATGGCTTAAATTACCCTTCATTATTTTGTTTCTGGCAATGTTTCTTCTTTCTTTTTCTCTTTTGTGCTCCAGATAACCTGAGTCATCCAAGGTTTTTGAGCAGCCAACCCATCTCTCATCTAAAAGACACCAAGCATCTCGTCTTTCTATAGGGTCCCTTCTTTGATTAACCACTGTTCATCCTTGAGGGCTTATCTTAGAAGTCGTCTCTGTAGGCAAACTATTGAAACCTTTAGTGTCTTCATCATCAAGTTCTTCCATGAGCTCCATAGCTTTCTATATACTTCTCAGTCATGACATTGGCTGCATTATATGATAATTCCCTGTTTATTCATCTGGATTATTTTCCCTGTGTTACATAAAGTCTTTAATAATGAACTTCATAACGGTCTAAAACACCAATGTGGTTCCAATACCTAGTACAAAATCTGATCACATAGTAGATATTGTTGGCACCATAAAATGAAACAGATGACTAGCAATGATAGGTACACATATTTAAGATAAAACATTCTAATTCCAGAATCTTTTTTGAGCTTCATAATTGCTTTACAGTCTAAATATTATCACTGAGCAGTAATATAGGAGAAGCTTCCATGATGCTAATAAATGGAAAAAATAAGAGAGTACTTGGAGAAAATCTTTGACATTGAAGGAAGAAGGAAAGATAGAGTATTTGATCATGGTTCATGGCTGTCTCAAAATGGATTTCTTTGGAATTGGAAACTGTATTACTTTCAGCCTCTCTGGTAGAAAAGAATCAGACCAAACATTGGATCTCTGGGCTCCCTTGCCTCTGTTGAGCTCTTTATGTGTTTGGACTGGATGTGTTCCAGAGGGGTGTCACTCAGAGGTTCCGAGTGAGAACAGGTTTCCAGGTCACTGACTAGGAACAATCACACCCAAGCCTCCCCTGAGGGGACTTGCCTAAGCTAACAGGCCCACACATCCCCCATCTTTTCCAGGACAAAGTTCTCAGTGCGAACAAGAATGCCACTTGATCTAAGTTGCATTACTTCCTAACTACTTAGCCAACTGCTCTTTAATTCTCTTTGTTCAAGGGAAAATTCCTTGGGAGCTTTGCAGAGCAGAGCAAAGATAGCTAAAACTGGAAGCTCCTTTAAAATACCCAGGTAATCAACACTGGCATCCACTTACCAGAAAAATAAGTGTCAGATAACTTAAACTGGTTTGAGATAGATATTTAATTATTTCTTTCCTTCCTTGCGTATTTCAGCAATAATTAATGGGCTTCAATCCTGATTACACTAAAGAATTACCTGAGAACTTGGGGCGGTGGCAGTGTACACTTTTAATCCCAGCATTTGGGAGGCAGAGGCAGGTGGGGAAAAAAGATCACCCAAGATATTTAAAGTCTTTAGGCACTCAAACTCCTTATTGGCAGCTCTTCATGTGCTCCAAAGATTGGGTTTTTAAAAGTTCCTTTGAAATATATCAACTATATGACTGTAGCATTTAAAAAATGGGAACTGGACAGTGGTGGTGCGTACCTTTAATCCCAGCACTCGGGAGGCAGAGGCAGACAAATCTCTGTGAGTTCAAGGCCAGCCTGGTCTACAAGAGCTAGTTCTAGGACAGGTTCCAAAACTACAGAGAAACCATGTCCTGAAAAAGCAAAACAAACAAATGGCAAAAGGTTTGTGGGACTGGAGAGATGGTTCAGGAGTTAAGAGCACTTGTTGCTCTTTCAGAGAACCTGAGTTAGTTTCCTAATACCAAATGGTTCCTTACAATTGTTTATAATGCCAATTACAAAAGATCTGATGCCCTCTCCTGGCCTCCATGAGCACTAAGCCCACATGTAAGACACAGCATACTCAGATAATACAAATAAGGAACATTTTGATTCTATTCATAATTTATCTTCAAAATCAAAGAGAAATCATTACAATAGCACTTGCCTAATAGAGTTAGTGTAAGAGTTCAACGAAATAGCTTGTGTAGAATACCCACACGATGCCTTCCACGTAGCAGGGATCAACAACTCAGTTTCCTTTTCTCACTATACTCACCAAGTGCCACTACCATGAGCAATCCTGGAACTCCAAAAGCAAGTGCATAACAGTCTTCCCCAAAACACTTCACATCTCCTGGAGAAAACAGGAGGGGGAAACGCAATTATGAATTATAAGTCATATTTTACTCTCTTAGGTCAGGTTCTTGGTGCAGACATAGCTCTCCTCTTTTCTTCCCACCATCTAATCCAGAACCCTTATTTTAAGCCAGACAAATTAAAACTAAAATAACCTCTCATATATTTATAAGCCCATGTGAAAGGAGAAGCCGGGCCCCCTGCAGCTGTTTGGTTGGCCAACCCCGTAGAAGGAATCCTAACCTCTCAGCATGGGTGTGATGAACGTAGAAATCAAGCTCCCTGCATTGATGGAGAGGTAGAAGACAGAGAAGTATCTAGTCCGCGCCTCTGCCTGGAATGAGACAGAGCATCAGAGAAATGTGTTTCTTAGTGCCACCCCACTCTATGTTCAAATTCAGATGACATACATACGTACATACAAAACAATGGGTACAAATAGTGTTTCCAGGGTGTGTGACCATCTCATGAGCTCTTTAATACAGTGACTGACTGACCCTGGACACGCTTTTCCTCCCTTTCTAAAGTCCAGTACAAGCCCTTTAAGACCTGGGCAAAAGTGGCCAACCTGTCCTCAATACCATTCTTGTGTCCTATACATGTTTATTATACTATCAATTTGTTTGTATTAAATATATGTTTTATTAAGTATGTTGTGAGTTCCTTCAGTAATATCTAGACCTGGAACAAACACTAACGTATTTTAGACACCCAATAAATGTTTACTGAATGTATTAATAAAACAAAAGACTCCTTGAGTTAATAAATATAATTTGTGGAGGATGTGGTAAGACAGTGTAGCAAGCTGTTGATCTAGGAGTATAGTGCAACTAGTGTCTCAGGGAGATTTCCCAGAGTGTGTGAAAGGGTATCTGCTGACCTAGAAGTGGCTTGAAGAAGCCTGGGGGTGACTCCGCTCTATTAACTTAAATACACCCGTGGGCCAGCAACTAAATACAACTTCCAAGTCATTTTCTAATAGGTGATTTTCTGCCTAAGGTGTATTTCGTTCGGGCATTTTAGCTCATCCTGATTCACCAGAAGAATAATGAGGAGCCCAGAGGTGTTGGTTAGTCCAAGAAGAGATGGTTACCGTGGGCTCATTTGCAATTTTGTCACATATCCCCCGACTCCCACCTTTGTCAGTGGAAAGTTTTAGGAAGAGAGGGAATGACCAGCCAGGCGAGTTCATCTATAAACTGGCATTCTGTTTCGTTCTAACTAATAATTCCCCCCGCCCCCACAAAATCATCTACAGCATTCGCCACATCAGTTCTTAGGTTCCTCATGTGAAAGTAAGGTTACTATTTCCAAATCCTATGTGAAGTTTTTCCTTCAATGAAGCAAGCACCTGATTTCCCATTGCTTCTACATATTGGGCTCATATTTAAGCATAATCATCCTCCAGTATTGAAGAACAGCTAGATGTAATTTTCTCCTTGGGTTTTGTTTGTTCATTTGCATTTTGTTTTCAGTCAGGATCATGTGTATCCTGGGCTAGCCTTGAAATAGTTATGTAGCTGAGGATGGCCTTAAACTTCTGATCCATCTGCCTCTATCTGAATGGAATGCTGGGATTACAGGTATATGCCCCATCTCAGTTTATACTTAGCTGGGGACTAAACCTAGGGTTTTGTGGAGGCAACTCAAGGACTCTACCAACTGAGCCACATCCAAGCTCCCTTGTTGCTTATCTTATTCAGTTTCTATGTCCTTATTTTCTTCAGTCTTTCATTATATGACATGTCTACCTCCCACCTGCTTTCAGTTTTCTCTCTTCTGAAGACCAGCATCCAGTGCCCAGTGCAGAACTCAGCTCCCCAGACAGGATTTGATCGGTGGAATTACTTCAGTCTTAGCAGATGAGTACCTAACAGATTCCCCATTTTGATGCTGTCTATACACTCTTGAAATAGAGAAATAACAAGACTCTTACATGTTTTTCTTCAAACTGGTCTCCACCAAAAGCTGCCACACAGGGTTTGATACCTCCTGTCCCCAGAGCTATTAGACTCAGGCCAATCAATGATAAGATTCTGAAATGGAGATGTAAGGATGCTATAACCATGTGGATACCAAACCAACTATAGAGATGTACTATTAAAGATAATATCATCTTTGCATGTCTACATGTGCCTTGTGAGTATTTTCTACTTGCCTTAACTCCAAGTATTGCTCATGAGAATTTATTGTCTTCACATTTAGCCTCTGCTAGAAATTGTATTGTCTGAGAAGATCCTATGCATGATAATTCCATTTATCTTTTGTATGTATGCTTCAAGTGGAAGAAGACACTTGTAGAGACTTAGAAACTAACACACTAGTTTTCAATATTATTTAAGCAATTCAATTGAAAGATCATAAGGACTCTAATCTTGCATACCTTTACTACCTACAAGCAAAACATTAAAACTTATAATAAATAGGAATGGCATCAATAAGTTTTATGGAGCATTAATAAGGTATTTAACACTTGCCACATTTCAAACAAAGTTAAAACTTCAACTCAGAATGGTGTGTGAGCATATTAAGTTGATTATAAACATTAAAATCTTTCAAATATCTCTGCTCTATATACACCAATACCTAAAATGAAGAAGGTCAGTAAAATAGGAATACACAGAACTACACATAAATAGAAAGACTTCAATCTCTGACTACCTTTATAATATATTATAAGTAAATACTTTAAAAATTTGTAATGGTGTCCAGATACACGGTTAGATGAGTAAGTGAAGGGAAAAAGAAGGTCTAAAAGATTTTCTTATTGTCAAACAAATGTAAAGTTCTTATGAGGATACTAATTAGGCATTCTAAGTTTCTTCAAATGCTTACCTAATTAAAAAAAACGAAGCCTGATAATATAGGAAAAGGTACAATTGATCATAAACCTTTGATTTTTAATAAGTTTGGCAATAAAATTATGCACTAGAAAATAAAGAAGAATCTCTGATATGAAATATAAAGCCATCTGTGGTGATTTTCTGAGCTGCACACCTGGCTGATGCAAGAGGAGCAGCTCAGTTGGTCCCATGATTTTACTCACGTATGTAGCGTTTTTCCTCCCAGTATTGGAATGGCCCCCAAAGACTTGAATATATGGCCAAGAACGTACACCAACGAGAGATAGATGATTGTCCTACAAAGAAAGTTAAGCCAGTCAGTGTATGATACAGTCAGGGTTCATGCTGTTCTCAGTAGGTGGAGGAGGGGGAGTGGAGGGGGACAGGATGAACTGGGAGGCATGGGTAGAAGCAATGGTGAACAGAGTAAGCAGACGAGGGGAAAGGAGTGTGATTCTTCATCCCATAGTGTCCACTTGGAGGTGGCAAACATGGCTTTCAAGTTCTCTTCCTGGATCTACACTCTGCTCTGCATTCTCAGAGCAACCCTACTTGTATACAGATGTGACAAGAACTGGGGGGGGGGGGGGGCGGCGCGGGTGTAGCAAGCACAGTGATGTTTCCAATTAGTAATATCTGTAGGACAGGATGCCTCCACCTGTTGTTTCTCTCAAGCCATGTCTATTAGCTCTAGGACGCAAGAGGAATAAAATATGAATGCCAAGTACGTAGGAGCGCTAATACAAAGGACTTTCTCTAAACAAGCACTGAGAAGTACAGAAAGGTGGAAGGATTTTAGGTTCAATGTGGGTAATCTGAACACTTGGTCTAACTGTAAACCCCAGGACAGCTTCCACATTGATAATTTGCCAAAAAGGTGGGGGGAGTACAAAGGACTTAAACTGTTTGGTAATAAAAAAAAAGAACTTGAATAGCAAATAAGTAGCAGATGAAGGAATTCCAATAAGAACATATGTAGAACTCTGTACAGTGGCATGGCACAATATCGCTTATATGCTTGCGTGTATTACCATAAGTGGAATGTGTATTATGTATATTACCATATAGGTAGAATGGTAATGCTGTAATAAACCTGCAGAATTATATAGAATCATTTTAAAAAGTGTTTTACACTGGTGTTGAATATAAACATGGAATGAAAGACCCTGAAATCCTCCAGAAGTACCAGAAATCTCAGCTTGGGAATTCCTCGTTCTAAGTGTCTAATCTTCTTAGATTGTTTTTCTGGGGTGGAATCTTTGCTGAAATAAAATGAACAATAAGAAAGAAAGGGAATAAAAAGAAACTGAAAGAAAACTAGTTATCATGGACCTTAAAGAGAAGATGCTAGATCATCAGAGAGAAACAAACCAAATGGGGCTGGAGAGATGACTCCATGCTTAAGAGCTTTTAGTGCTCCCATAGACTGGATCTCATCATATTTGGTGGTACATAGCTGTCAGTAACTCTAGCTCCAATGGATATGATGCCCCCCTTGCCTCTGCAAACACACACACACACACACACACACACACACACACACACACACACACACACACGTGCGTGTGCATGGCATTCCTTCACGCAGACACAGAGACACCAACCATAAAAATACTTAAACTAGGGGCTGGAAAGATGGCTCAGAGGCTAAAAGCACTGACTGCTCTTCCAGAGGTCATGAGTTCATTTCCCAGCATCCACATGTTGGCTCACAACCATCTATAACACATTCCAGTGTCTTCCTCTGGCCTGTATTGCAGGCACACATGAAGGCAGAACACTGTGCACATAATAAATATGTAAATCTTTAAAAGAAATACCTGTGCTAAATCTTTAAGATTTCTGTATACAAGAGTTGGGGATTCTGGGTGCCCATTTCCCCTTATAAAGCTCAGATTCTGGGCTAGTAAGCAGGGAAAGGCTTCTGGTAGTTGTTAACTGAATTCGTAAAATCGTTCCTTGACTGTTTAAACTATCTACCTAACATAAGTCTTCTACTTCCAAGGTGACATTGGAGAAAAGTATATGAGTGAGAGAGAGAGAGAGAGAGAGAGAGAGAGAGAGAGAGAGAGAGAGGGAAGAGAGGTGGAAAGGCAGGAAGAGAAGGAGAAAGAGAGGAAAGCTGGCAGAAACACTGAACAGAGACAGAGATAAGGGGAGAGGGACAGGTTTGAACATGTAATTTGTTTTCTGAGACAAGGCTGCCACTTCAGGTTTTTAAAAGTGAAAGCAGAGGCAATTCCAGTTTGTAAAAATTAGGACTACAGTGTGGTTGAAGGGAATCCCGAGTTCATTCCACCAGATTGTAGCCATCATTCTATCTGTATATAAGGGATCTCACATTTCTGCCTACACACATAAATACATCTACAGGAGGACAGATTATTACAGTTTCAAATCACCCCCTTTCCGAAAGAGATTCAAGGCATCCCCAAGGCACTGAGGCCCATGATAACTAGTTTTCTTTCAATTTTTTTATTCCCTTTCCTTTTAATTGTTCATTTTATTTCATCAAAGATTCCACCCCAGAAAAGCAATCTAAGAAGATTAGACATTTAGAATGAGGAATTCCCAAGCTGAGATTTCTGGTACTTCTGGAGGCTTTCAGGGTCCTTCATTCCGTGTTTATATTCAACACCAGTGTAAAACACTTTTTAAAATTCCCTTGCTAAAAACAAACAAGGCCCAAAGTAAATAAAAATCACCTTCATAACTATTCATACCTACTCTCAGTCTCAATTATGTTTTAGACAATAGTGCATGAACTTAATTATAGAAAAAAGACAGCAATGAGAACATTTTAGGTGCCCTTTGCCATCTTCTAAGTTAGAGACAAAGAAAATAAAAATAAAATGGTGGCAACTGATAGCAGTTGGTGTTAATATTGAAGAGACTGAGGGTAAGTGATACTGTACACTTAGAATTCGTAGAATCATATAGTTGGCTCAGCGTGGGGACAAAAGGAAGCCAGGATAAAGAACAGCCAACTTGAAAAGAAACAAGCAGTTCTAAGTGCATGACGAATTTGAACTCAACGTTCCAACACTTTGAGAAACTGTTTCCAAATAACTAAACTATGCACCCTCAGACCTGCTAAGGGGAAGTCACTCTGGGGAAAGTGAGTAGTGAGGGTTAGCGCCTAGTAGAAATCTAACATTTAGAGAAGAGCTAAGTAAATGAAAACAAAAATGGAGGTGGATCAAAAATAACTGAGAAAGACGAAAGTAAGAGAGGGAGAAAATGCAGTGCTAGAGGAGGTCAGGAAGTTTCAAGAATTTGGACATGAAAAGCAGGCTGAAGTAATGAAAATAGAAGTTCAGAGTGAACAAGAATCTAGAAATGGCCACTGTAATTTGTTAACAAAAGGCATCAATATTCTGAGAAATTTCAGTTGGAAAAATAAGTGATTTATACTATCTCATATTAAAGCCACCACAATTTGCTTTTATTAAAGCTATTTGAACTCAAACAATGTGAAAACATATTATATATAATACACCACTTCAAGTTTATGACTAATTGGAGAAAGAAGAGATGTTCAACAAACATTTAAATTTGGATCAGATTGAGCTAAATTGTGTTCCCTTACATTGAATTGTGTTATTCTGTCCTAAGAAATGATGATGAAAAGAGAAAAGTGGCTAACACAGAGGTGCTCTTTTAAAATTGTGGGAGTGGCTGGAGGAGAAAATATATGGGAAAATAATTCAAAATTTGTGTTAGTTTATTTGGAGATACTAGAGACCTTTATCTGATTTCAGGACAGGAAAAGATTCTAACTCTGAGGGAAAATTTGAAAGCTTAGGAAAGTAGTTAAGACAATGGTGACACCTCTGTAAAAACTCAAGTTGTATACACAAGACTTCTGAGTTTATGTACTTTCTTTAAGTCACACCAGAGAAGGTAAGTTTAAAAAGAAAAAAATAACTCAAGCTAGATTGAATCAAGAGTACAAGTAGAGAGTATTAAATTCCCCCTGAAATGTTCAGGAAGCTATTGTTCACCAAATCTTGAAGTTGTACTTCTTCAATCTCAAGGGAAGTTATTTTAAAAATACAACTGCAGTGTCAGCCTTTATTCTTTAACTGGATGAAAAGGCCATAGTTTGAGTTTTTCGTTCTTCGTGTAATGCCAATCCATAGCTGAATGAATTCAATGACTACTACTACACAAGGGACAAATGTAGCCACTTAGCCAGCATGCCTCTCTGAAGAGACCGCTTGTATTCCCTCACATACACAAATAGATGTGTATGAGTACATAAATATATAAAATTAAGATACAGATCAGTGTTTAGACTTGGAATTCTGTGTGGTCAGTTTTACGTGTGAACCTGACAAAACTAGAATCCCTCAGGGAAGAGAATCTTAGTGAGGAATTAGTCTAGATCCGGTTGGCGGTTAGCCATGTCAATGGGAGGGAGGTTGTCTTGATTGCTCATTGATGGAGAAAGGCACAGTTCGCTGTGGATAAGGCTATTCCTTAGGCGGGGATCCTGAACATATTAGAGAGAAAAGTTAGCTGAGAGAAAACAAGCAAGGTTGAGTCTTCTCTCTCACTGCTCCTGACGGGGGGAGTGGTGTGATTTGTTGCTTGAATTCCTGCCTTGACTTTGCCAAAAGGATGTTAACAACTTGGAATTGTAAGCCAAATAAACTGCTTCTTCCCTATGTTGCTTTTTGTCAGGGTATTTGTCATAGAAACAGAAGTGAAGCAATGACAAGCTATCAAACACTGTGTCTACAAACACAACACTGCATAGCCAAACTACTTCAGGAAACAAAACATACGTAACTTTCACTTGGAGATTTTACAGTACATATTAACTTATTGGGGACTAAAATACAATAAGGAAACCTTTTTCAATGTTTCCAAAACAACATAGGATTTTTCTAAAGTGCCATAGAAGCTTTATTTTCTTATGTAATTCATTTTATCTTACACAATCAAATTTTTTGAAAGAGTATATTTTGAGAAATACTAATTCAGACAAATCCACAGAGGGTAAACCCCAGAATATTGTGAGATAGCGTATACCGAAAGCTTACCTTTATCCTATGCGGATAATGCTATAGAGGACAACTATACCATTAGACCGTGTCTGCTGCTTCTGTTGTTAGTAACAAAAGAGCTGAACTAAATGAACTATTATTTTAACTTGTGGAAATCTTTATTAGAGTCTAAAGAAGGAAGCTACAGAAGGAGGTGATAAAGGTAAACAGAAATGATTTTAAATCCTCTGGAAAGAAAGAAGAAGATGCTGAAGGAGGTGAGGTGACCGAGTCTGGAGAAGACATGGAGCGAATGCTAGGGAGTCACAGTAAGCCTTTACCAATATAAATCTGCCAGGGCATAACAATCTTTACCCTCGCCGAGATAAAATAAGATTTGGTCTTAAGCTACAGAGTAGAATTTAAAATTCGATTTTAAAATTAGATTTTAAGAAGGAACTCTTGAATGTGAAAATATTGGAGGGTGAGTATGAAAAGAATAGATTTTTTTTTGTCGTTGTCAGTCTTGGATAGATATTTGTCATAGCTGTGAGTTTTTTGTTGTTGTTTTGTTTTGTTGTTATTGTTTGCTAGAAGGTAAGAGATTAGGAGTTGTAGGTAACTTTCTGAACAATGAACTTGAGAGGCTCCTGAGGCTGTGACCTGCCATTGTCCTTACTTGAATTTCCCCAGCCACGAATCAGCAATGGCTGCTCCCAAGATGGGGGTGAAATAGCAGAGGCTGCTGAAGGCATGGTATACAGATGTGGAGGTGTCTTCATTCCAGTGCAGGAAATACAGGAAATACAAGGTCAGCACAGCTGATGAAACAGAAGAAAACAAATGAGAGGCAAAATAAGATAGGTGCAATGAAATGATTTCCAGAGAAATAGATTCGATTTCAGGGCTCTGCGGGTGATCCTGGTGTTCAGCACTCCTGCTAGTGAAATAGCCCAGGTGTTCCTAGTAGTGAAATGGCCGAGTGATAACTGCCAGGCAGTAGAAGCAAGGTCCATGGAAACTATGAAGTAAATGAGGCATGCTGGATACACAAATACAATACTTGCTCCTTCAATCTCTGTGTACTCATAGCATCATTTAGACCATGAGATGTTAACATGGTACTTCCCACACTCCTTCCACCTCTCCTTCCCAGCAGCAACATTGTTCAATGGAACATACACAATGAGAGCTTTTCCACTTGTGTTTTCATTGGCTGTGTATTAAGTTCTACAGGCATTTTTGACCTTAACCTTTAGGAGTTATTAAACAAAACCTTATGAAACATTTACAACCATGGCCAGAGAGAAGGATCAATTTATACCAGGGCAGATGAAGGAAACAAGCACATCACATGTAAGGAGACCAGGTTGCTGTAAGCGTAAGGCAGAGAAGACTCTGGGACACAGAATTACCTTTCATGCCATAATAGGAAAAACGTTCGCAGAATTCATTCACCACAATGAAGGCGATGCTGAGTGGATAGCTGGAGCCAAAGATTTTCTGTTCAACAAAGAGGTAAAGGTTGAGGAATGAGTTGTTTAACCTATTTTAACTTCATGATAACACTACAACTGAAAACATCGCCAAATATATGTATATGAAAAGGTTTTCATCATGCTGTCCAGGCTGATCTCCATATTGTCATATTCCTGTCATAGGTTCCCAGAGCACTCAGGCTGCAGGCAAACCCCACTATGCCTGAATAAACTCATTTTTACATCATCGTTGCAGTTCACATGGGACAATGGTCTCTTCACAAAACATATATTGTCCTATTAGCTGTGCTTATATTGTCAATGTGGGAATAAAAATTCAGAATCATACTTTGCCCGTTATTTAACATGGAACTGGTCAGACATTCCTTGATCAGGACCTACTCATCTCCCCACAGCATCTCAATAAAAGCCTATGGCTCTAGGGAGAGGATGAGCATACTTATTGCTAACAGTAAAATGAAAAGATGACTTTCAGAGCACAGAATATCCATGTAGTCAGAACCAGATCTCATTTTCCCACTTGGCTCCACTATAGGGACTGACTCTTCCCATCTGCGATGTTTACCATCCTGAGAGAAATCTTAACAATATTATTGCTTCCTTTTCATAGACAGCTGGAACCAGACATAGAGCTCAAAATGGAAGCCAGACATTCCTAAAGGTAAGCTGATTGGTCACCTTAACTCTAGGAAGAGAATTCTGAGATCCTGTGCAATTAAGTGTCTACCCTCCCTACTAGTATGCTTTATAATATTTTCCTTTTAATTTTATTTGTATTTATGTTTATATGTGGGAGTGTATGTCATGTGTATGAGGGTACCTGCAGAGTTCAAAAGAAGGTGCTGGATCTCCTGGAGCTGGAGTTAAAGATTGTTATGAGCTGTCTGACACGGGCACTAGAAGTCAAACTTTGAAAGAACAGTACATGCTCTCAACTGCTGAGCCATCTCTCCAGAACTAAGATTTTCATCTGCAGCCTGTACATTAGAGTAATTGTGCTAGTGCATGCAGTATGTAATTCAGACTATAGGAAATATCATGTTTTATTTCAAATCTCTTTCCATTACAGCAGTTCCACTAATATGGAAAAGAGTTAGAGATAATCTGTTTCTTGAGACATTCAAACATTTTCATGAGATTTACATTATCTCTTTTTCATAGATATGTACCTCTTTTTAATCATCCTTAATAGGGCACAAAATGATTAACTATATATGATAAATTATAGTCTGTCTTTTACCCGTGTAGATATGAATATGTCATCTTTCTACATACATGTTACTACATGACAATAACTTGCTTGAAAGATGCAATGAATTGAAATATTATCTTCCCAGGTTCCAGCTTGAGAACTATGCAACAAAGAATTTATTTAACTTTATCTGTGTACTAATTGGATTAACATTCAAACTTTACTTAAACTATACCACTACCCTGTCACTGTGCTTCAATTCTGTTATTCCAAAAGAATTAAGATTCATACTAAGCTTATGATTGATAAGTCAATCAGCAAACATTGTCTGTTATTACAGTAGCCTCTCTGCTGAGAGAATTTGACTAGCATATGAGGATTTACTGAGGTGATGAATTCAGAAGTGCTTTAACAAGCACATAATGCAAGATATTATTCTTTGTTCCTCTTTCCGATCTTCCACTTTAAAGTCGGGACACTTAGTAACAGAGTGCGTCTATTCTAAAAGCTTCTGTTGGTGTCCGAAAAAAAGAAGGCACACAAGGGGAGCTAAAGGCTGCGTTTTCGTATTGGTAAAAGAACAATCACATACAGTTCTCCAGACAGAAATGCTTGCCAAGTTTCCCTGGCCATTCAAAGTGCTTTTTCTCCCCCAGGGAATATACAATGAAATACAGCAAAAACTCTGGGGCCCGATGGAAAAATTCTGGCTAACCTATCCCGTGGCTTCCTTCCAAAAACTGAAAAACTAAAATTAATTTTCAGGTGAACTCTAATTCCACGAGAGAGTAGTTTTTCTACTCTAATACAGCTCAGCACCAAGTTCCAACAACCAAGGAGGAACTTTCAAGAGTATGTTCGCTGTTACTGTCAGGAGACAAACTGACTTGGGGTACTCACCGGAGGCGACTTCTTTGGAGGACTTGGAGGTCTAGGCAGCACCTCTTCGGTAGAGACAGGTGAAAAAAGAGTTTCCTTGGACTCATTTTTCTGGAAGGGATTCATGGCTGGCTCCTTACTCTCTCTCTCCTCAAGCATTTGGCTTCAGTAGGCAGTTAGGACAGCTGCCAGCCTACAGTGAAAAGGGGGACTGGCGGGAGGAGGGATGGTTACAGCAACTAGTTTTAACCCTGTGGGTGTCAGTTTCAGTAGCTGCCTGCCTCCAAGCAGAGCTGGAAGCCAAAAGAAAAGAGAGGGTCGGCACATCACTTTCCAAAGAATGCTTGTGTAAAAGGTGTGGTATGAGGAAGAACAACATGTCACAAAGTCCCAAGATGAAAAGAAATGATACTAGAGAATTTATTGGAGTTATCTGCTTAAGAAAACTATCTGTGAATGAATGCCAGACAGTGCTCAAGAAGGCAACATTTTGGTTAGGGATGTAACACAGTGGTAGAGCACTGAGATATGCCTTACATATATAAGGTTCTGAATCTGATCGCTAGTGATTTGGGAGGAGGGGGGAAGAATATAGCATTTTAAATACAGAAGGCTGATTTCAAGTTAATAATATCTGCTATTATTGGGTACTTAACTTACTATGTGCAATGTCATATATAAGCTATATGTATATTATATGTGTGCGTATATAGCCCATAATTTTGTTTACTATAATTTTTACTAATGTCTTCATTATGCAGAAATTATTGTTCCAAGAGAATGAGAAACTTGTCTAAAAATCGCAGGACCAGGAAAGTGGCAGATCTGGAATTTTCACTATGCAGCAACAGATAGGAAGTGTAGAGATAGGTATCAACACTGACCCTGCAGGCTCTGCAGGTATGAAAGCCATGGACACGGAAATGTAGGACTGTAAGGAAATCAGAATGCTTTAAAAAGAGGAAGACATCTCTAAACTAAATTTGAGAATAAGTATGAAACAGACTTGGTTTTTTAATATTTTAACATTCAGCTAGAAAATCCTGTAAGTAAAAAAGATAGGGCAAAAGAAAATGACATAAGGGTTGGAGAGGAGGCTCTGCCGTTAAAGGCTAGGCTCACAACCAAAAACAAAAGAAAATTACAGAAAAAAATATTAGTGAGGTCCTTTGCTAAAGCCACTCTTGGTATTCTCAACTTCTCACTTCTGGATTAGTCTTTTGATTCTTTAAAAAATAAAATTTAATTTTGTGCAAAAATTATGAGACAGTTACTTTCTATGTATTATTGCAAACATTAAATTTTCTTAACTTTCAGTGGATGGATTTTATTCTGACTCTAGAGTACTATATTTAGTTCTTATGAGAAGAGGGGCAAGAATACACATGATGACAATAGATATGTTTACACTCTATATTGAATTGAATGTATAGAAAATTGAAATTTTATTAGCTTATGTTAATTATGTAAGAGTATTGACTTTCAGGATGCGAAGAAGGAAAACACTCCTCCATCGCTGGTAGAAATGTAAGCTTGTACAACCACTCTGGAAATCAGTATGGAGGTATCTCAGAAAACTGGGACTCAACCTACTACAAGACCCAGCAATACCACTCTTGGGCATATTCTCAAAGAATGCTCAACCATACTCCAAGGACATTTGTTCCGCTATGTTCATAGCAGCACTATTTGTAATAACCAGGACCTGGAAACAACCTAGACGCCCCTCAGCTGAAGAATGGGTAAAGAAAATGTGGTACATTTACACAATGGAGTACTACTCGGTGGTAAAAAAGCAATGACATCTTGAAAATTGCATGCAAATGGATAGAACTAGAAAAAAAAACATCCTGTGTGAGGTAATCCAGACCCAGAAAGATGAGCACGGTATGTACTCACTCATAGGTGAATTCTAGCTGTAAAGGAAAGGATAAGGAGCCGGTAGTCCACGACCCCAGAGAAGCTAAGTAAAAAGGAGAACCCTAAGAGAAACATTCCTGGGAAGGGGAAATAGACAAGATCTCCTGAGAAAATTGGGAGCATGGAGGTGGGAGAAGAAGAGAAGGCAGAAGAGGAGGAGGGAAGAAGGGGAGGGGGAGGAGAACTAGAGGGAACAGGGTGGTTGAGATGGCAGAAGGACAGAGACAGAGAACAAGGAAAGAGATATTTTGATTGAGGGAGCCATTATGGGGTTAGCAAGAAACCTGGCACTAGAGAAATTCCCAGGAATTCACAAGGATGAACCGAGCTAAGACCCTAAGCAATAGTGGAAAGGGTGCCTGAACTGGCCTTTCCCTTTAGTCAGACTGATGAATATCTTAAATATCACCATAGAAACTTCATCCAGCAGCTGAAGGAAACAAAGGCTGAGAACCATAGCAGAGCATTGTGCTGAGCTCCCAAAGTCCAGATGAAGAGTGGGAGGAGTGAAAATATGAGCAAAGAGGTCAAGACCATGACGGGGATACCCACTGAAACTGCTTACCTGAGCTAATGGAAGCCTTCCAACTCTGGCCTGACAATGGGGGGGAACCAACATAGGACCAAACTAGGCTTTCTGAATGTGGCTGAGAGTTGCATAGCTGGGGCAGGCTGTGGAGCCACCGGTAATGAGACCAAGATTTATCCCCACTGTTTGTTCTGGCTTTTTGGAACCCATTCTCCCTGGAGATCTTGCTCAGCCTAGATATAGTGGGGAGGGGCTTGGTCCTGCCTCAGAGCAATGTTCTAGACTTTGTTGACTCCCTCATGGAAAGCCTTACCCTCTCTGAGGAGTGGATGAGAGGTAGGATGGGGGGTGGAAGAAGGGGACGATGGAGGGAGCAGGAGGAGGGGAGGGAGTGGGAAATGGATTTGGCATGTAAAAGGAGAAAAGATAGGTTTTAAAAAATAAATATAAATTTAAAAATGTACTGACTTTTATTAAAACATTTCCACACATGCACAAGATATACTCTCAACATAGTCTCCTCAAATTGCCTCCTCTGACTCCCTTTGTTGCATTATTTTTGTCGATTAAAGAGGTAAGAGAGGCACAAAAGAAGCCCATGCATCTGTAAATCAAAACAATGTAAATCAAATCAAAAAAAGGGAGAAAATATTGCCAAAGGTTATAAAATGTTTTTCTAAACCTTAAGGTTGCATCATGAGGAATAAACCATCAAGTCAGGCGATACCAAAATGAGCAATTTCATTTGAGGCTGTGGGAAATTGTGAGTGGCAGAATAAGAAGAAGGAGGACAATGTAGGGAGGAGAAAATTTGAGCAAAGTAAAATGCACATATAAAATTTTCATAAGGGAATTCATTATCTTCCATGTTCACCAATTTTTTTAAAAAAAGAAGAGTGTATAGCCCTATCTCTTGAAAATTTCTTTATTTTATTTTTTAAAAAACTGTCTTTTCTCCTTTTACATACCAATCTCAATTCCCCCTCCCTCCCCTCTTCCCATACCTTCCACCTTTCCCCCCTACTTTGCATCTACTCCTCAGAGGCTTCCCATGGGGAGTCAACAAAGTCTAGCACATTGCTTTGAAGAAGGACCAAGGCCTTCCCCACTATATCTAGGCTGAACAAGGTATCCCTTCAAAGAGAATGGGTTCCAAAAAGTCAGTGCAAGCAGTAGGGATAAATCGTGGTCTAACTGTCAGTGGCCCCTCAGTCTGCCCCAGCCATACAACTGTCACCCACTTTCAGAGGACCTATTTTGATCCTACGCTGCTTCCTTCCCTGTCAGGCTGGAGTTGGTGGGCTCCTAATCAAAAGGCAGAGAGAGAACAAATTAACAAAATCAGAAATGAAAAGGGGGACATAACAACAGGCACCAAGGAAATTCAGAGAATGAATCATTAGGTCATACTACAAAAACCTATACTCCACAAAATTGAAAAATGTGAAAGAAATGAACAATTTTCTGGCTGGGTACCATATACCAAAATTAAATCAAGACCAGTTGAATAATTTAAATGGACTTATAACTTGCTAAGAAATAGAAGCAGTCATCAAAAACCTCCCAACCAAAAAAAAAGCCCAGGGCTGAGTGGCTTCAGTGCAGAATTCTATGAGAACTTCCAAGAACTAACACCTATACTTCTCAAATTGTTCCACATAATAGAAACGATAGAAATAATAGACAAAACACTGCCAAACTCTTTTTATGAGTACAGTTACCCTGAAAAATTCTTACATTGACTGTTTGAATTATTTTTTTCACAAGTGACACATTTTCCCCCTAAACTTTAACTTGGACTTTGAGCAGGTTTTCTCAGCTTCTCTTCTAGTCTTCATCTGTTCTCTCTCTCACCAACCTTTACCCAAGGAACAGTCCAGCTTTACTTCTGCCTGTAGCATTAATGATTAATCTGTAGTTATTCTTTTAGAAAATATTGCCTTTCCTGACCTACCTTGGTTAAATACTAAATCTAAAATAGGCAGAAGTTTCTGGTCAAGTCAACTAGCAGAGGCACAGGTGCCTTTAGACTGAATTATATCACTGGCTTCTCTTGTACTGGCCTGTACTTTTAGAAGGCATTTAATTTGGAAGCACGGATAAAGCTCCTGTATGCAATGCACCCATGAAGTCTCACTCAGAGATGACTCTCCTGACCACCAAACTCCAGAGTGTGAACTTCAGTTTCCAGACAAATTCCTATGAAATTTGTCTTTATGTGAGACAGGGTCTTATCTGGTCCCCACCTCCCTGTTTAGCCAAGGAATGTCTGATCCTCCTACTTCTAATTCCAGCATGCAGAGTGCTGGGATTCCAGGAATAAGTCACCACTCACTCCTGGTTTATATAGTGCTGAAGATTGACCTCAGGGCTTTCACAATGCTAAGCAAGCGCTCTAACAACTGAGCCATATCCCAAAGCCTGGAATTCGTCTCTTGATTATGCCAATAAAATAACAGTATTCACAGAATTAAACAGTATCAGAGAGGTAAGGAATCTTAAGTTTGAGCCTTTCTTAGGTAAATTCAGCTTCTCTGATGCTAAGAGTCATTTAGAGCAATACCATTTTGAGGTGCTTGCTTTTGTTAGACTCTATTGCTTTTGTTAGGCTGGTCTCAAACAGAAGGATAAAGGTCTAAGATATAACTAAGAGAAAACGTCTTTGACATAATGAATATAAACTCCAGAGACACAAAAGCCAATAGAGATAGAAGAATCCAAATATCGGAATCAAATGTTAGTGACAAAAATTAAAAAACATTAGTGGTCTCTGTGATTTGACAGCAGAAAGTAGTTTTAAGTTACTCCTAGAAATGACCTCTAAAATGAGTAGTCAGAGAAAAGAAGCAAATATGAAATTAAAAGTAAATGTGTATT